CTCCAAGACCTCCAATCTCAATGAGTTCTCAATCTCCAGCAACTGGGGCCTGGGCCTGGGCTTCTCAATGGGGGGGGCGAAAAAAAGAAGAATTGGTTGCCCACTCCCACGAGCAATTCTTTTTTTTCATCCCCCCCCTCCCGGGGAGGAGGCCGGCAGGCCCAGTTGCTGGAGATTGAGGACTCATTGAGAGTGGAGGCCTTGGAGACAAGATCCCCCTCATAGAGGTGATGATCTGATGATATATGATGTGATGTCTTGAACTTGCTGATAGATGATATTTGATGGACTTCTGTGTGGGAATCATGAGAGCTAGCAGCTAGTATTTTTGCAAAAGCTTGATGAGAGATCTGACAGATCAGAGCCATGCCAATTGGATCATTGCCTATCAGAACATGGAGAAGGAATGGGGGATTCAGGCTCTATGTGGTGAGGGTGACTACCTAGACTGTATGGTCTCAACGGTGGAGTGTGGAAGAGTGTCTTGATTTGGAGATGGGCATATAGCTAGAGAGCATAGGAAAATGGAACTTCCAATGTGGATGAAATGAGATGAGATGAGATGAGATGAAGCATTGGGTGCATCAAACAGCTGGCATTGGGGTTGTGGCTGTATGTATGCAATTTCATTTGAGACCAAAGGCGGCTGCATAGACGCAACACCTGCATGAGAGATTGGGATCCTGACTTTGAGCAAATTGTATTGCTATACAAGCCATTGAGCAAATGCCCCAGACAGCAGCGCAATATGGATGGTGCTTCGATTGGGTTTGTTTGGCCTCCAAGAGCACATGGGCACCATGTGAGAGGGAAACTTGCTAGGCAATCAATGAGGAGGGGGTCCATGGAATGCCTGGTGCAAATGGGTTTGTGTGCATGGTTAGGTGGCCCAATGGAAGATCAGAACCATTTGGGTACAACGTTGGTTGATCCTCATGATTCATGCTATTGGTAGAGCATATTTTTGGCACAATTTATTGATTTACTTTTGGGTGGGTGTTGGTGAGGTCCAATGAGGTTTTGAGCTTGGGTGGCATCACGAGAAAGAATGTCCTTGGTGCCAGGTTTGGTACAACCGGACTTCATGTATGTCTATGTGTGGGCAAGAAGTTTGGGGTGAAGAGAAGGTTCTTCATGAGCTTGGGAATGAGTAGTGGCCACACAGCCAATTCAGACCCTTAGTGTATCTATGGCTGGATCGTTCCATGGGCTTCATAAGGTTCTTTGGAAGATTTCGTCGTAGATGCGGGGATATGGAGCATAGACCTGAAGAGCCATTGGGTGAGAACACTGGAGATGAGCAGGATTGGTCAAATCGAACTTGTGGGATAGGATGTGAACTCCCAATGCTCGCAGAATGGTTCCCTATCACCTTGAGAATGAGGATGAAGCTTATTGTGGCTATGGGCGTCAAGAAGGCCATGCAAAGCCCAATTCCAATCAGTCATC